TTAGCTCTTTTTTTTTTTTTTAAGTTTTTTTTTTTTTTGTAGTTTCAACTAAGATGCTAGTTGTATTTTTAAATGAAAGTTAACTGTGTGGCTAAATATTGCACACTGACAAAGCAAAATGCACTTGCTGAGGTGGGAGGGTGAAGGAGGAGTACAGCATATTAACACCATGCTCAACTCTCTTTGCTCTTCCCATTCAAATAACCCAAGTTAAGTGCAGTTGCAACTTGACATGTACAAGCCAGACTCCTGGGATTCCTGTTTGCACCTATTATTTGTAATTACCTCTGTCTCGGGCTACATTTGTCTGAGGATTTGTGGATGACTAATAAATTCTTATTTATTAGTTGGGTTAATAGAAGGAGAGGGCATTTATATTTCTTGCTTATGGTAAAAAATATTGTCAACCCAGTTATATGTCAAAATTATAAGGGAAGTGTAAACCTGTTTTAACTAGGAGGAATGGTTTGCAGAACTTAGGCAGGGAATAATAGCTGAGCATTGAACAGCAGGGGGGTGATGCTGAGATGTTAATGCTTTATTAATGGCTTCAAGGTGAGGAACTCGTATTTATTTGCCTGCCTGTAAAATCAGGTTGTGCTTTCTACCTAGAAGGCAGTTGGGATTAAACAGTCATTTCAATTAGCAGGACTATGAATACTTCTCCTGCACTTCATGTTCCCATCTCGATGTCTGGAGAGCTTCCAGTACAACAGGCACAGACACTCATAAGATCAAGGTCAAACTGTCTGAATAAAGGATGATAGAAGTATTAATTCGCCCACAGATGTGGCAGCAGAGATGAATAATCTTCATATAGTTTACCTATACATCTGAGTATTTGAATGACTTATAATTAATTACAAAACAGTGAATCTGCATTGTGTCCCTCTCAAAGGTCTTTATGGGACAGTTCAACACTATGTATTCCCTCTATGCTGTATGCCTTCGCTAGGGGTTTTTAAATTACAGTTTTCCAGGTTTGCTGCTTTCAGGGTGATGAAAGAAAAGAGATAATTTTACTTAACTGAGAGTAAATAAATAGATAGTTCAGTCCATTTTAGTTTTTACTCCTCTAAAGTTAGTTTCTGTAGGTTGGTGGCTAAAGTCTGACATATTGTAAGGTCTTTTTGCAGACCCTGCCTTTAAAAATAGAATTAATATACAGTTTTTGAAAATTTCATTGTTGGCAGGATAGTTCTATTGACACTGAAAAGCATTTTAGCTATTGATTTCAATGGAATGAGTTAGGTCCATGGCAGGAATTTTGGAAAATCTACTCCTGACTATTAGGAATGTTTCTAAAAGCTTACCCACCAATTCAGTATTTAGAGTAGAATGTCATACTGAAACATTCACCTTTTGACAGAGTTCCCATTTACTCATCGTGATAGAGCTAGGCAAAGAGCATAAAAATTACTTCTTAACTGTTTTTCTTCAGTAATAATTCAAAGCAGATTTGGACCACAGACTACACTGATACTCATGGCTTGCATATACCTTCACTAAAATTTTGGAATAACGTTGATGTAAAAAGTAGGTTTAGTTAAAGGATTATTTGGCATTGAATGGAAAGTGAACTTTGAGAAGAGAAAGTCAAAGTCTGTCTTACAAACTATCAAAGGTAGTCCAGGATGTCTTCAAGTCAGGCCAGCCTTTAAGAATTTCTGAATGTCTGTCAGTGAAATTCCTGACAGTGGAATGTTTGCCGTCAGCCTGTAGAACAAGTAATTGGTGATGTGATCTGGAATAGATTTTACTTCAGAGTAGAATACCAATGCTGGTTTGATATAAATGGAGGCATGCAGTCAAAGCTCACTGATGTTAACAGCGAGACTTCATGTAGGACTCACATGAGCCTTTTTGTGTGGTCACTTATGATTAGAAAAAGAAGATGAATGCAATAAACTTTTTGTTTGTTCCCCATTGGTCTTTTGAAAAGCAGAACGCTTTTGATGCATGATACACCCATCTTTCAAAAAGCAGCTTTATGGAAGAGATTTGGGTAGTACTCATACCTAGGTACTGGACAGAGGTTGAGACAATGCTTGAAGGAGATATTCCCAAAGGCTATAATTTGCTTGGCAGGGGTTAGTGCTTATATGGAAGACACCTTTTTCTTTGCATCTTTGAGTCTCTAGAACTTGGTATTTGTCTCAGCATTGGTACCTAACGTGTGAGAGATATGAAAGAAGAGTCTGGAAGCTTGTAGCGATGCATGATTAGGATTTTTTTGCTAGCATTCTGATATTAACTTCAATAATCTTTCAACTATGTTAGTTACTGTTTTAGATTTGAGGATGTGAAGAGATTTGTTTGCAAAATGAAAATGAGTAGTGCATTCATCTGATGGATGATGTGAGAGCTGTATGATTTTTGTTTTCACATGCAAGCTAATTTGTGACAGAGATGTGGACACAGCTCTGGAGAGGTTCTAATCCCTACAGTTTAAAGAAAATATTAATGATAAACTTTATTCTCATCCAAAGTTGTGTTGTGTTACAATGTGATGTTTAATCATCACATTACTAGATCAGGCTAAAATCTACTAGTCTTATATTTGATGTGATTTGGCCATACAATGCAAACATGGCTCAGGTAGGTGAATTGCATGAAAAAAAATTAGGGGAGGGGGGAGGGAGAAGAAAACATGTGATTTAAACCGTAGTAAAGTGGGCGGGTGGACTCTTAAGTTTTTTAGTTGGCTTAAGACATAAAAAACAGAAGTACAACAAATTATTTTTATTATTCCAAAATGCACAACAGACAATATAGGGGTTTACAGATCTATTTTGAAAACATATATTTTCCCATACTTTTGTACAACAAGCTACTCTTTTTTGCAATTTTAATTCAAAATTCTCTTATCCAGAATGGAATAATTCCTGATATGAATAATATGCTTAGTTTTAACTGAAGTCAACTCATGTTTAAAACAGAAATGTGTGAGAGACAATTTGATTTACATATTAGTTTACTGCTTTTAAAACTCCACTAGACCAAAGAAAATGTCCATGCGGATTAATCTTATAAATAAAATTAAGAGAACTAATATCTTTCAGTACAAAAGCTAAAAATAAAATAAGTTAAAATATCTATTTCCTATTATAAGAGAGATCCAGAGTAACAGGAAAATTCCCTTTAAATAAACATGTCTGTAAGGGTCTCCAAAGCAGACATGCCACACAACCTCAAGGAGTTGTCTACTTCATTTCCTTGCCTCACAACAAATTAACTTTATCTCTGTCATTCCTAACAGGTTCAATGTGTTCTTGAAGACCTGTAGTGGTCACTACTCCACAGACGCCACTCCCCGCTTTCCTTCCTTCCCCAGACCTTTGACAATTTATTTCAGTGACTAGCTGTCTCTACCTTCCGGAAGATTTGCTAGTGACTACTCTGAATCTTTCATTAATTGTTCTGTTCACTATGAACATGGAGAACTGACTGTTCCTTTTCTCTTTGTAACAGTCTTCAAGCATGTAAAAGGTTTCATTAATTTCCCTCCCTCAGTGTTACCTCCCATGAGCAAAGTAACCACATTTATTTAAATCTTTTTCTCCTAAGATGGTTTTTAGGCCTCTGTCCATTCTTATTACTCTTCTGTGGATTTCCTCCAGTTTTTCAATGCCTTGAAGTTCTGTGTCCAAAGCTGGAAATAACAACTCAGCTGAGGCCCTTATCATGCTGAACTGAGTGGTGGAAATAGGTTGTCTTGTAGGCTCTACTCCTTATGTTCCCTCTTTCCTGCAGTGATGTGATACTGTTGAGTCACACCTAGCTTGTATAACCTCCAAGTCTTTGGTGCCGAACTACTGCTGAACCAGTTGCTCTCCATTCTGTGTTTGTGTAGGTGATTTTTTTCTGGTGGAGAACAGTATCTTTTCATTTTCCTGATAGGAGTTATTTCTGTAGTTTTCAGATAATTTTCCCAAAAATGTGAAATAATTTTTCATTCTGATTCAGTCAGTCCTCCAGCTTGCTTCCAGACCATCCCAGCTTCATGTTGGCCATAGCAGAATTAGGTTGCTGCAGAAATTCCATTCTCAGAAGTGACTACTGTGAACTACTTTCAAGGCTTGTTTGCACTACTGGGATCAGGTGCCTCTGGATTCATCCCTAAATAATTTTTGAGACTCCTATGTTAAATAGTGTTTTTTTTTTTTAAAAAAGTCATTACTACATTCTGTTGCATAATGACAGGAAATCCACTGTTTCTGATAGGTGGCAAAATTTTCAGAATTGTATAACTGACTTAGGATATGTTCACTCAGGTGAAAGTAGACCGCTAATGATTCTTTTTTCAAGTTATCCAGGTATGAACTAGATTTCATGTTATTTGTCTTATTGTGGCAGTGAGCCTGAGCTAACAAGCCTTACTGAGAAAGCATAAGAGTCAGGTGACATTCAACATTTGAACACAAATTTTGGCTCGTAAATAAACATGCTGTTGTTACTTACAGAGCATAATGGCTGTATGAAATATTTTGAAAAGGAAAAAAAAAAGGCAGGGTCTCAGCTGAGAGAGGTTTACAGTCCAACTAATAGAAAGTGAGGGCATAGATAGTGCTTTTAAGAAAATCAGTGCTGAAAGGCTTTTTATAATAAGCGCTTTCTGAGGAGAGATGGAAAGCAAAGGATATGAAAGACTTGGATCTTGGGAACTTTTTGAAAGCATAGGATAGCATAGCATAGAATAAGCTAAGTGAACTAGGCAGTGGAAATACATATAAAGAATGAAGTTGTAATAGAGAAGAGGAGGCAAGGGCAGAAAGAATCTATATAGAATTCTATAGACCTATGAACATGATTTTAAGGAAACTGATGGGATAAGTAGGGAAGGCCTGAAGAGAAATTTAGTCGGTAGCTCTCCATTTTGGCCTTAAAAATCTTTGTTTCAATCTTGGCAGTTTCTAAATAGCCTTGCCTATTTTCTTCCACTTAAGCCCGATCAGTACCTATGTTGAGAAGTGAATGTTAGAAGCCATCTCAAGTACCCTTCATTGGTTACTTTTGTTCTGACTGAAGGAACAGTAGGATGGCCCCAGTCCCCTCACAGTGCAGTCAGTGGTGTCGGTGTCGCAGGTCTCACAATGGCACTCTGTTGCTACTGGATACGAATAAAAAGATTCAGGATGGTCACCACAGCCAGGGATCTTCACTGTTTCATACACAACCTCCTTGAAGGTACATGTTTGCTGAACGGATGATACTGGTGGATATTTATATACTGGATCCTGAAAATTACAAGAAAGAAATACCTATTTTGAAATTTGTTATTGGGTAGAATTAAACATTTTCATAACATAAAGGACCTAATGTGAAAATTAATTTAACCAGTGGGAAAATCCCACTGAAATCAAAAGGATTTGGATCAGACTCTTCTATTTCACCTAGATCCTTAGATTTCTCCTTTTGATTCTTCAAATTACTTGGAAAAGCAAAGGAGTCTACAGTAGTAGTAGCAGGAGTAGGAGTAGAGGAGTCTAGAGTAATGGCTGCTTTATTGTATCTGTTTGCAATTATAAATTGAACACAAGGCAGAAATCCAGATTTCAACTCTGTTCATACAATATAAACGTAAGGAATGCACCCAGTTAAAGATCTGAATTTTGCTAGCAACTTTTCACTCTTCCCTTTGTGGTTCAGATGAGCTGTGTATCTACTTTCCTGTCAAATTGCACAGCAGTTACTTAACCTGTTCTTTCACGAGGTGCATCCTGCCTATGTGTTCGTTATGGGCTAGAGAAATTGGTTATTTATACATCACTTGGAATATTTAATTCCCCTGCCTGAAATTAAACATAAGATTCTTACCCTTGTGAAGCAGTATCCTGAGCACCACGTGGCATTCACTGTAATACAGAATTCACATTCTTCTCTTTCCACTGCTATGGTAATATTGGTGAGCTGACAGCTATTGCAACAAATTACTTTCCAGCAAAATAACAGCACGTAACAATTAACTGCCTTCATCCTGTGTATAAAGCAAAAAAAAAAAAAAAATCTATCCTGAAGAAACATGTACAGTTATTTTCAACAGGAAATATTTATAGAAACAGAGAGAAATCGAGTCTTCACATTATCCTTAAGTGGTGCTATAATAGCAAGCTTTCAGAAACATCAGTGAGAACATAGGATAAAGCCATCATGTAGATCTATCCATATGTTTCTATTGTATAGATCTATCCATAGGTTTATTGTTAAAGGAGTTTGGTTTTCCAAAGCAACTGAAATGGCACATCAGCAATCTTTGCAGAATAGTAATAGCAGAGTACAATACCATTTTCAGTGAAATATTTTTATCTAAGTTTCTGTACAGAGAATGTGTCCTGTCTTTAAGGAGAAAGAAGAAGCAAGAGACACAAAGTGCAAAGCATAATCTGTTTTTCAGAATCAAGTCATTACATACAGTATTTGCAATTTGGAGAAAGATTTCTAGATCAGAATCTGATGAAAACTTACCTGTATTCTGCTTGCCTTCCTGGTAATAGCTGTAGTGAAAAGAGAGCCCTATGCTTAACCTTTTATACTAAATCGAGTGTAACTTATACGTTGAGGATTTGCGGTGTATTAATGCAGTGAGCATTAGTTTGGTACTTGATGAAAGCGGATTAATTTTCAGCCAGACAGGGAGATCAAGCCTTGTTAAAGAGGAAAAAAGAAAACCAAAACACACTCAGGAAGCGATGGTGAAGGTTACTGTCACAATGTCTTTTTAGAAGTTTCACTGGATTTGATTCAGTGGCATGTAGAAATGGCTGAGCCATTCCACAGTTTGAAAGAAGTTAGAGAAGCCTATTTTTTGACAAAAAGTTCAGGTGTTTTAACGTGTTTTATGTCAGCCCTCAAACTGATAGGCTTGGGTTGCAAGCTGGTCCTCTGGTAATTCATAACAGAGACATTACTAGATTGTTTCTTGGCTAATAAACACATTCCTGAGTTTTTCAGGGTATTTTAGTTGCTTTTCTCTGAATTAGGTCTCACCCAGTGAGCAGCACATGTACTTTTTTACTGGTCTGTGGTCCAGGAAAGGTTGTAGTGTGATTTTTGTTAAACCATGAGTAACTCCACTTTTCTTTACCATTTAAAATACTACTGTGGTTATTCAAAATTAAGATGTCTGTCCCAGTATACGCAGTCCTGGTTCCTGTCTGTCACGTGGTCACGTTTTTCTTAATTTATGTAAGGGATGTCTGTATTGTGGAAAAGGACTATAAAGATGTCATAATGAGGCTCCAGATCTGTGTTTTCTGTCAGTAATCTCAGATTAAGCATTGTCATGTTACATGGAAAATTCTAATATTTTTAACAGACAACCACGTAAACTCAACTTGAATATTTGTCGTGATAATGCAAGATTCTATGAATAGCGTTCCCCTGCTCACTGCCCTTTTCCTGCATTCACAACTTAGTTATGTGTGCCTCTTCACCAGAATAATGACAGAGAAATAACTTTGTTGAGCTTCACATATCACTTCTGGGGAAAATGACTCACACTAGCACTGTATTTACTAGCATCTGCCCAGAACAGCCAGTCTTGCTTTGTTATGACTGTTCTATTATGGTCAGTCTGACTTTTACAGAAATCTATCCACAAAAGAAAACTAGGCAAGGACATAGAGTTAAAAGCATTTCATCATGAAAAGAAATTGTCACTGGCTTAATAGTTGTCCTGCAGATGGGATACTTTTCAAAATGGCTTGTACAAATGAGCCCTTTATGTGTCTCATACCTTCCTGTGGTCCTGCAGACTGGCCATCTGTTCCAATTTCCATCCAGTCTGCAATACCATAATTTGTTAATGAATTTGCTATCACACCAAAGTTAGAGAGTGATCCACAAATTTTTCCTGGATGTCTCCTGTAATAACAACTTTGTTTGAATGACACTGCAGCTCAATTAAATGTGTAAAGAAGTAAAGAAAGAAAACATCTTCCTCTTTACTGATGTAAACTCTGTGATCATTTGATAATGGTCTTTTGTGTCAATTAGTGTCAACACAGTCTGTCTTCTAGGAGAAGATTCTCACTTGCTGTAAATCACTAATTCCAGAGGTGGCAGGTGATTATAATTTGTTATATCCCTACTGAGGCTCTGCCCTTTTCTAAGTACTAATTTATAGGAATTAAATATAACTAAATTAACTTCATTTGCAAAGGACAATACAGAATACCTAATCTCTCAGTTGCAATGATCTGTTTCATGGTTTGAAGAAGTTGTACACATTCACTAAAACTATTGTTTCATAAGCAGAGAACGCAACTTTAGCCTCTGCCATGCTGTTTCTTCCCTCCCCTACTTCCTTGTTCTGCCCCACTCAGCTTCATCACATGTGGAAATGCAAAATAGGGAAATTAATTATTGATGATATTAGATTATTAGATTAGATTATTATTAGATATTTAGTTATTATTATTAATGATTAAAAGGAAAAAAAACCCAGATGTCTTTTACAGCATTGTTGTTAATCCATGTCAGTTTTTTCCACAATGAAGTGAACAGCTGTAGCAGTTGGGATTGGGATTACAACAGCTGTAATTGATGGGATTGGCTGGGGAGTGGGAACGAGGAGGGAGGTTAACAGGAAATGCATTACATGGAGTTCTTACTGAAGAGTTTATGAAGCCACATTGTAAACACAATACAAACTTTTTAACAGGAAAATTTCCTCCTGCACTGACTTCGAGGGCAGTTGTTTCTGTAATCATCAGTTCTAGGCTGATTCTCCAGCTACCAGCTTTGCTAAATTCATAGTGTGAATATATGAATATGCTTTTTTAGTGTAACAGAAAATTTTGAATTGAAATCAATTAACCACCGGTCTGTCATCTGAGGAATGGTAATCTGGTGAGTTGTTACTTGGTTGGCTTTGATTTTGTTCCCTCCCACACCTGTTGTTAGAAAGATATGCTAAAGAATTACTTCTAATGATAGACAAGATGCTGTGTAAGTACATGTTTTTTTAAGATTATTAGTTCATACCTCTGGGAAAAAAAAAAAGTATGCTATCTATGTCATACTCCTTCAAGTTTATATTCTCATTATATTGAAAAAAATGGTTATGGTAGTTGTGAAGGGAATAACAGATGTTATTTTTCCAGAAGGCTATTATTTTCACATGTATGTGAACATTATACATAGGTTCTGTGTTACTGGATTTTTTATCTATTTGAGAAATAGAAATGCTTTCTATTTTAAATGGTTTATATTTCAATTTAGGGAATACTGTCAGAGGGAAGGATACTTCCTCTTCATGTGCTGCAGCAACTTTTAGTGTTGAGTAGTGGTTTTATCTCTCTAGTTCTTAAGCAGAATTGCCCATCCTAGATGTAGAAGTTCCCATTACACTTCTAGTCTGTGTGTGCTCTGCTCACTCTTGGACCCAGCTAAGAAATTCACAGATTGGGAATGTCTTTGAAAATGGCCTGTTTGGACTGGGGCAAAGCAATTTCATGCTTTCTCCACCTTTCTAGGTTTAGCTTATTAGTGGGTTCATTGTGCAGAACCCAAGCTCCAGCAAGCCCCGTGAGGGCTCAAGTTGCTGCAGAGCCCTGTAATTACATTGTGTTTGGGAATGAAAGAGTTGGATTGGAACAGCTAGCGCTTAATGGTCAAGACCTCTGTCAATGGAGATTTGCTGTATTCCTTTTGAAGTGAGTGGGGAAACCTGGCAAATGCTGTAACGTAAAATCTGGTCTTCAATATGAGCAAGGAGGTGGTTTGTCAGAGTACAGATAGTCCTGTAGATGAAGACTCTCCAACTTTTGTGCAAGCCATAGCGGGTTTTATCAGTTTCACGTGGCTGTGTTAATGTCTTAGTGGCATCTTGGGGAAATAAAAGGCTTCTCTATGTTCTTATTTTTTTGTATTCCCTATGGAGTGTTTACTGTTGTAATCCAGCAAGCCATTGTTACAACTGCTGCCACAAGAGAGCACTTGCTTTGCCATTTCTAATCACTTCAACTAGAAGTGCTGCGACACATTCTGCTGTTGCCCTTGTAAGCAGTCAAAGCTCTTTTTCTTCTGTTTGTGGTTTGGTGGTGGTTTTGTTGTTTGGGATTTTTTTGTTTGTTTGGTTTTTTTTCTGTTTCAAAAGCATCTAATACAGGACTGAAAGCTTTGTGCTTCTTATTTGTCCTGAAGTAATGATTTTTTTTTGTTCAAGAGAGGTGGTGGTAATACTTGCAATTCTGTTACAGCAAGTTGTAAATCTGCCTTGCTTAAAAGAACGTAGTTTAGATCTTTCAGAGAAATTCTTCATCTTTCAAAGTCCTAATTGAAAATTCAGTTATATGTGTGCATCTCATCCACCATGAGTAATAAATCTGACTCTGTCCTGATAGAAGATATATTGAACCTTCTAGTGGAAAAAAACGCAATGCCTGGTATAAAAGGTAGGTTTTAGCTGTAAATTATTCCAGCTGCAGACTAGCTTTAGCTTCTAATGTATTCTTTTAAAAGTGTCGAGGGATGTGGTTTTAGGTTTGTTAGATTCATGACTGTGGGTATGTGTTTTAGGCCTTGTTAAACAGATGTTTCTGAGGATAATAGTTTCTGCATCTGAAAGCTGTTTTTCATTGAAAGTATGTCTCAAAGATGTTTAAGGTGCTTAAATCTATGGCTTAATTACATTTCTGTGGGTGAATAGAATGAAGAGTTGGTTATCCTAAGTTTGGAATTCTGCACTTCAGTGCCATCCTGCTGAATATGATATCTGCTTCTGCCAAGTCTCCTCTTCACAGAACCTGTCTTGACTGAGTACCCTCCCTCTTCTCTCTTTTGTGTTTGTCCAAATGTTTTTCTGCACAGGTCCAGATTTAACCTGAGGTACTTAAAGCAAAAGACCTTATTGCTGCTACCCAGTGATTGACTAAATTGATATCCTTGAAGTATGCAGATTGCAAATTGCTTCTGCATCTTTTCTTCAGGACTCCTGTGTGGTTGACATCTTGCAGCACCAGCCTGTGTTAAGT